ATTAAAATTATTAAAATAAAATTTTTTAAAATAGTATTCAAATTTGGGCAGACTGCCTCACCTGTTTCCTTTTGAGACTGGTGGGTTCAAATTACCACCTTTTTAGTTAGAAGCCCAATGCTTAGCCTATAGCACCACTAGTGTTCCTCATGTACAATTTAGTGACATTAATTACATTCATTATGCTGTGCAACCATTACTATAACCATTTCCAAATTCTTCTATCAACCTTAATAGAAATTCAGAAATTCCCTTTGCCTCCCTCTCATCCTCAGTAATCACTAACTTTAGACTTTTTTGTGTATTCTAGATATTTTATAGAGTTCTGGTAGAGTTGCACTGCCAACCCATAGGAGAAAGATGGGCGATAACCTCCCTTGCAAGTTATAGCCTCTGAAAATCCCTTAGAGGGTCAGCTAGAAGTTGGTTCCAACCCAATGGCAATAAGATTATTTTTTTTAAGTGGGATCACACAATATTTGCCCTTTTGGTCTGATTCATTTAATTCAGCATAAGGATCTCAAGATTTATCCATGTCAAACATGTATCAAAACTTCATTTCTGGGAAGGGGTAGGAATAGAGGGGTGAGGACGAGTAGGGGGAAAATCACAAGTTTACACAATTTGGTGGGTAGAGAGAGAAGGTAAAGGAAATGGGAAAGATACAGCAGGGACCTGAAAAAAAAAAAAAAAGAAAAAGAAAAAACCAAAAACACAGGGTAATGGTGGACACAGCCCAATAGTGATTAATTTTATAAAACATAATATATGGGAACGATTGTATGAAAAATGTCAGTGAATTGAAGTATGAAACAGACACACAAAACCACTATGTGTACATGAATGAAACATAACGCATATGTATAATTATATGCATATCAATTAAAAAACCCATTAAAAAACAAAACTTCATTTCTCTTTTTGGAAAAATAACATTCCCGTGTGTGTATATTACATTTTGTTACCCATTCTTCCGATGATGGATTGTTTCCATCTTCTGACTATGATGAATAATGCTGTGCATAAAGTAAGTAGTCTGTTCCTGCTTTCAATTTTATAGGGCAAATACTTAGGAGTGTCATATAGTAACTCTGTGTTTAGCTTTTTGAAGAACTACCAATTTGTTCTCTAACACAGCTACACCATTGTACAATTCCATCAGCAATTCACGAAGATTCAAATTTCCCCACATCCTTGCCACTAACACTTGTTTTCTGATAACAATCCCAGTCTGACTGTATTAAGAGATTTTCTGGGAGAGTTAGGTCTCCTCTTTCCTATGCAATCTTAAAATGTCATGGATAAAATGGTAAAGATCCAGTGTAAAAAACAACATATACAAACTTTGTAAGCAAACCAGTATAAAACAAATTTATTTTTTAAAAAAACCAACCTATGTTATGCAGATGAAAAACAAACTGTCATGGATAGAGCACTTGTAGTAGAACCACTTGTGGTGGACCACCAGGACAGTAAGGGTATAACCCAAGATCTCTATATTTTTACCAAATGTCCTGTTGTCTGTTCATACTAGAGTTTAAAAAGAACTTTAGAAACAAGTATCTTAAATACCAGCCCACTCGATCCCGAGTCCTCCCATTATCTGATCTGTTTGTGTCCTGTGGAAAATTCCTGACTAAAGGCCTCTTCCCTCTCACCTACTTCCCAAACTCCAAGCAACAATATAATACAGCTCTCTCTTATGCATCTACAAGCACTTACAACCAAACAGCCACCCAACATCAAAGTCTGTCTTTTCTCCCATGGTGTTATGTTCTCACTTTCATGAATGACACCACATACCAATCTGTCATCCAAGCTGGAAACTAGGACATTAGCCCCAAGTGTTCCCTTTCTTTTCTTGATCCCTTTTCATGCTCACATCTAACCAGGATAACCATTAAGTTGTTTTGTTATCATCCATAAACTGAGCAGTCAGTTACTCCGTTTCTTCTGCCTAGTCTGTCCCAGAACCCTCCTGGAGCAAATCTCAAATAGAGACAAACCTAGGCAACTTGGTAGAAGTGGAATGGGACAACTCACCTTCTTTCATACTCCATGTCCTGATAGGGCCTGTGGGGACTGCTGGGACCCCTCTTCAGCCACTGACTCTGTTTCACTTTCCAGTCACTCTTGCTGCCACCACCATGATCTTCCAGTCTGGGTGGTGACTCCTGCAAGGATTCTGAGGAGAGCAGAAAGAAGAGGGTCCAGGTAGTTGAAGCAGAGAAGATGTCCTTGAGAATCCTTAGTTGTTAAAGCTCTTTGCTATCCCTTAGCCCAGAGACATTATTTTCCAGCTCCTAGTGTTCCTATGGAGCAAAGTTAGAACATAGTCCGTGTCTGGCTTGTCCCTTCTCGCCCACCCCCCATACTATAAGCCTGAAGTCCACTGCTCTAGAAATAGCAAGCCTTCATCAGATAGAGGACATCTTGTAGACAAACCTGGAGCATTTCTAAAAAGACACAGATCTTGGTGATCTGATAGAGTGGTGGTATCACCCACCCTATGATTAGAGCTTTGCCATCTGAAATTGGTAGATAAAAGCCTGAGGCTGACTGTCTGGGGATGCTCTCAGTACTGAATGACCAGAGATTAGGCAAGAATACAAGACTTCACAACAACAGGAGTTACAATCAGGTACCATTTCATCCTCCCAACAAGAGGATGACAGACTTCTCCAAGGTAGTAGGAGACCATGAAAAACTCTCGGAGGTGGGTAAAAAGGGGCAAACGTGGCAAGGGGACAATTGTTGCCTCCCTGGGCTTTCAGCCAGCTCAACCTACACAAAACTGGCTTAGTGCCTTGAGGCCAAGGTAGCTCTTTCCCTAGAGCTCCAAGCTCAAGGTTTTTTCAGAGGCAAAAGGGGCCCTTTTAAAGGCTATTCTGAACCACTGAGCTATTCTGCTGCTGCTGTGTGCTGACCCTCGAGCAGTATTTCAAAGGCATGGGAGGAGACTGCCTATCCTCCCAGATTCAAATCACATGCCTCTGGGGTTGCAGCGCTGCTTCTTACCACTAGGCCACTGTTACTTCACCTCATGGCTGCCTTGGAGAGTAAGGGAGTTCAGAGTCAAGTAACCCAGCTGGCAGAGAGGATGTACCTAAATTCTTCAGGCTCTACTCTCTAAACAGGAATCAGGCTGAGTCAGGTGATACACTCATTTTCTCTTCTGCCTCAAGCTTCAGGAAACTAGAGTCGCCCCTCTCTCTAAAAATGTAAGAAACAGAAGAATCACAACCAGGGATCCCGCTGGATCAGAGCCAGATAAAAAAAACCTCAGTAGACTCTGGCAAGCGAGTCAGATTCACACATTAGTATCCATAAGAGAGGCCAAAGTCACAGAGAGAAGCCTTAATTACAGGTCAAAATCAGAGACAGGAAACCACAGCAAATGTAACCACAACCACACACTGCGACCATTTTCAATGGATGAGAATCAGTATCAGGCACGTATTTCCCGTCTCTTCCTCAAGTGAGTTAGGGCCAGTAAGAGAAAGAGCCAATATGGATACATTATGGAGTGAGCTACAGACGCACACCCAAAGGATAAAGACCAGAATCACCCAGACATTACCCCCCACCCCCGCTGCTGCTGCAGTGAATAAGGATCAGAATTACAGAACAGTTCCTCACAGAAAGATAAGCATTACATTCACACAAAGCAAACAGCATACTCTCCTGCTATGGATAAAAACCAAAGTTGAAGACAAATACTCATCTCCCCATAAAACCCAGTGTCGCAGCTACCGAAACTCATTGCCATTTGTCTTTCCCTTCCCCCAACCCGCATGCAACCATCATCCAGTATCCCAATACAGTATTCCGCACGCGCCCCTGCTCAAACAAACGGAGGGGGTGGGGGGGAAGAAAGCACGCCCGAGACAGGCAACCCCTTCTCGGGCTCAGATTGCGCTTGCATACCTGAGTTCTCTGCGTACTCCCGCCCCGCCCCCCACCCGGCGCCTACAGTCCGCCCTTGTGCCACCTCTACGCCCCCCCACCCCTACCTCCGCCCCCACGACCAACCCAAAGTCGATGCTCACCTCCTCAGTCTGGACTGTCAAGGGAGGGCTTCCAGACATCACCTCGGCCCGCGGCCACCTCCTTCAACTCCCCCAGTTCAGCTGTAGCCAGTCGTCGCAACAACCAAGGTCCGAAGCTCGAACCAGAAGGGACGAGGAGAGGGAAGGAGATATGCGACAGACGCGCTACCCTCCCCAGGAAACTCACTGCCGCCTACTCCCAGCCTGCCGCAATCAACAACACAAAATGGCGACGACGAAAAGGGAGCCGGCACTTTGACCACCATCCACCTACTAAGGGAACGCGCTCTGGCGGGTTTCGTCTATTGGCCACCACCCGCAGTTGGCCAGCCCTGGCCTCCTCTGATTGGCAAACCTATGCCACCTCCCCACTCTTAATACGAATGCCTGCAAGTCGAGAAATAGAGTGGATTGGCCAATCCAGCGAGGCCCTCTTGTCTTGGAAATGAAAGACAAGGGGAAGTTCCGTTCCTTCCCCAAAGTGCGAGGGTAAACTCGGTGCTATTGGCTGGGAACTACAGCTCCAAAATGTCACTGCTTTCTTCCAGTCAAGAAACTGAGCGGACCTAGTCTGAAAATTTTCTCAGCCTGATCGAGATGATAAAGAGAATGGCTGGTCTCATGAAAGTTGTTGTTGTTGTTGTGTGCCGTTGAGTCAGAACAACCCAAAACTGACTCTTTAAAGGGTTTTCAGAAGCAGTTAATCCCACGAGAGGAAATTGCGCATCCTTCTCCCCAGGAATAGCGGGAGGACTCAAACAGTGAACCCTTAGGGTTGAAGCGCAGCTTCTTAACCACTTAGGCCACCAAAGCTATGAAAGAGGCAAAGGAAAAAAAGATTGTACCTAGCCTCCTTGAGAGCAAATCGGACCTGGGACATATTTAGTTCGTAGAGGGTGGAGTGATAATTATCACATTCAGGGCAGCTGCGCAGAATTGTATTTCCGTCCCCGCCTCTTAAACGCTAAAGAACAATCTGTCATGGCGGCGGGACTTTTTGGTTTGTATGCTCACCGTCTTTTTGCGGCAACAGCGATGCGAGGGTTCCCAGCTGTCCGTGTCTGTTGGGAATCCAGTGCTTCCAGGGCTGCAGTTACTCCATCTGCCATAGGGAAGCGGCCGCAAGAAGCGAGCATTAGCTGGCGGGAGGATTCAGATCCCAAGGACGAAAACCTCTACGAGAAGGTGAGAGTGGGGACATGCAGACGTAGAGGACGTTCTTAGTTGGCGGAATTTAGGTGCAGTCCCTGACATCTTCGAAGACTTGATAATTTTGTTTAGCTTGTTTTCCGCTAGTATCTTCGGTCCAGATCTAGAAGTTAGATGGACCATATTTTGTAGACAAAACTGAGTATTAGCAACAATAAGGTTAAGCATCTCAATATAGCTTACATCGGGCCAGGCAGTATTCAAAACACTTCAGTACATTGTTGTTATGTACCATCAAGTAAAAAAATGATTCATAGCTGACTTTCCAGTGGGCTTTTAACTCACAAGGAAATAGGGAGCTCAACTTTCTTCTGCAGAACATCTGGAGCAGCTGGTGGATTTGAACCTCGTGCTATTTTGTTGGCACCGCCCCTTTTTACGACTAAGCCACACGAGCTTCTGTAGGTATATTGTTGTGTACTTTCGAGTCCGAACTGACCCTCCAGTGGGATTTTAGAGGCAGATAAATTGCCCAGAGGAGATTGCCTATTCCCCCGCCCCCCAAGCCGCTGGTGAGCAGCTGGTGGATTCAAAGTGCATACTTCTACATTGACAAAGCAGTGCGTTATTAGCTCTGTTGATTCTCAAAACCACCTTATTTTGAAGTTGTTGTATGTGCTATTTAGTCAGAACCGACTCATAGCTGACTATCCAACGAGTTTTCAGAGGCTGTAAATCGCAAGGAAGGAGATTGCTCATCTTTCCCTTATTTGTGAATTGTGTGGCAGGAGCTCTGGTGGCCTAGTGGTGAGGAGTTGTGCTGACCACCTAAATTAAAGCAGTTCGAATCCACCAGCTACTCCATGGGAGACAGATGGACAATCCCATCCCATGCTATTTGGTGCGTCCTCTGAAAACTCACGGGGTGGTCAACTCTGAGTGAGTTCTGACTCCACCACAATGAACAATATTTTGAAGTAGACACTATTATAATCCTAACTTACAGATGACAAAAATGAAGGACAAAGATGTTAATGTAGTTTGCCTAAGCTCACATAACTAAATAAGTTCTGGAACTGGTATTTGAGCCCAATTCTGCCAGATCTACCATGCTGTATTATAGACTGACATTCATTGACCGAGGTTTGAATTCAGACACTGACACTCAACCTGTGTGACTTTGGGCAAATATCTTAACCCTCAGATGACAAGAGTAGTTGACACTTGACTCACTGACATTAAATGAGCCAAGTGCTCAGAACAGTAGTTGGCACTTAATTAGCATTACCCATCTAAAAAAACCAGCAACAATAACAAAATCTTTGCACCCAAGTGGATCCTCTGAAAACCTGCTGGAGGATCTAGATACGGGTCAGTTTTGACTCAATAGCACACAATAACAATAACAAGAAGTAGATCCTAACTCAATGACTCTATAATACGCATTAGAAGAGCAGCGCACCTTTGAGATTGCAGCACAACTTCTTAACATTAGGCCACCAGAGCCCTCTAGTTAACGTTGTTGTTGTTGTTGTGTGCCATCGAGTTAGAACTGACCCATAACTAACCCTCCAGCAGGTTTTTGGAGGCAGTTAATTGCACAGAAGACTGCCCATCCTTCTGCTGTGGAACAGCTGGTGGATTTGAACTTTGAGATTGCAGTGCAATTGTAGTGCAATTTCTTACCACTAGGCCACCAGAGCTCCCTTGTTGTTGTTGTTGTTATGTGCCATTGAGTCACTTGCGACTCATAGTAACCCCATGTACAATAGCTCTGAACCCTACTCTATCTTGAGACAACCTCATTGTCTCTAACCCACCTACCTCCATTATCCCAGTCACTGGGTCAATCCATCTCATCAGGGGTCTTACTCTCTTGCACTGTCCCTCCATCCTTCCAAGCATGATGTCCCTCTCCAAGGACTGGTCCCTCCTTGCAACATGACCAAAGTATGTCAGACGAAGCTTCAAAATCTTTGCCTTCAAGGAGCAGCCTGGTTTTACCCTTTAGGACAAACCTGTTTGCTCTCCTAGCAGTCCATGTATGTTCAGTACTCTTCCCCAGCACCACAACTCAAAGGGATCAATTCTTTTTCTTTAATCCTTAGCCATTGTCCAGCTTTCTGATGCATAGCAAGTAATTGCAAAGACCATGGCCTGGATCAGGCACACCTTAGTCTCTAGACTGACATCATTGCTCCTCAGTACTCTGGAGAGGTCCCTGAAAGATTTTCCCAATGCAATTCATCTTTTGATATCCTGGCTGCTGGTACCAAGACTTTTAATTCTGGAGCCAAGCAAGCTGAAGCTGTTAACAGTCTTAATCTCTTCACCATCTATCATGATGCTGCCAATTGGCCCAGTAGTGAGACTCTTTGTTTTCTTGAGGTTGAGCTTCAGTCTGCATTGAAGGCTGCAGTCTTTGACCTTCTACAACAAATGCCTCAGGTTCTCCTTAGTTTCACCAACCAAGGTTGTGTCATCTTCATGACACAGGTTGTTGATGAGTCTTCCTTTAATCCTGATGCCACATTCCTCCTCATAGAGCCCAGCCTCTTGGATGATCTGCATATAGATTGAAAAGGTATGGAGATAGGATTCATCGCTGGCATCCAACTTTCCTGATTTTGAACCATGCAATATTTTCTTGCTCTGTTCTGAGGACTGCCTCCTGGTCCAAATATAGGTTTTATTTAAGCACAGTCAAGTATTCTAGGATTCCCATTCTTCTCAGAGTTAGTTACATTTTGTGTTAATTATTTTTGTCTCTTTTCACCTCATTGAGATATTGTGATGATTGTATATCTGAAAAGACTTGCATCATAATGTTGTTGTGTTGTTGTTATGTGCCATCGAGTCACTTGCGACTCATAGCGACCCTATGTACAAGAGCTCTAAATGCTGTTCTA